ACATTACATACATATACACATACATATAATATTTTGCGGTTATTGTAAAACAAATAAACACCTATTTTTGTATTATTTTCTATTCTGGTTGAGTGACAGTAGTGTTATATGTCTAGTTTGTTGTCTGTCTTAGAAATTATGAGTTTGGACACCAATATCATATATGTAGCTTATTGAGTTCCAGTTTTTTTTCAAAATGGCCGTCATTTGTAATCAGTGTTTATATTTGGCCTGTACCCGGGCCGCGATTTTTTTTTCCGTACGAAACATTTGCATGAAACTTCACTCGGGCCATCTCGGATTGACTCGAGTGAGTACGATACGAAGAACAAGATCAGACACTTCGCAATGTCGTGACGCTCGAGTTACTGCATTGCTCTTTCTATGTTTACCTACGGTAGGCCTATGAAATCTCACGGACTTACAGGATGTACGTGTGTAACTAACTGTGACCTTCTTGGATGTTATTAAATGTTAGTATATTATCTACAACAACAACAGCTAGTACCTCCTGTTATAAAGTGTAGATAGGTACAGTAATACCAAAGGCTAGAGAGAAAGAGGCCTAACAGGCTGAGATCTTACCTAGGCCCCTCCTTAAACTAGGCCTAGGGTCATAGGCTGACACCAACATACTGACATTGACTGAAATTTTTTGGGGAAAAAATAGGACAAAGTTGAAGAATGAAATAAAAAATAGAGCGCATAGAGAAATATTATTAAATAAATAATATACCATTCCGGCGTTATTGAACTTGTCCAAACTATCATCGTAATGTACTTAATGTTAAAGAATAATAATAATAATAATCATTTCAGCAATTATTACCTTGGCCTAAGCCTTAAAGTAATGAAGAACCTACTATTTACTAGGCCTATAAATAATAAATCGCCAAAGGGGAATATCTTTTGTGTTATTTCTCCTTAAAGTCGTTTTTTTAATTGTTCTCGAATTCCTCCATTGTCTAAGATCCCCTTAAGGTACAGGTAATAATAATAATAATTAATAATAATAATAATAATTTCGGCATTACATGTAATTAACTTGGTCTAGCTTTGTAATCAAGAACCTGCCGATTACTATGCCTAATATTAATAACTAGCTCATTTTTACATTCATATGGTGCTCTGCCATTTTGGCAGGTCTTAGGGCATCCAGTATTTTAGAGCTGCCTATTCTCAGCTCTTCGCTTAATTTGAAAATAACTGTCACCCTGTTTCATTTGATGAAGAAAAACGCGCTTTTCCTTACTCTTTGTGCTTTTCCCAGAAAGGGTCTTAGTATAGGCCTAGGTAAATATGCAAAACCAAGGCCTTACTAAAAAATTAAAATTGTCATAGTATGTAACTCAAGTTAAAATAACACTTTTCATTACTCGTGCAGCTTAATCAAATATATATATCATTTTAAACGACCCATTGGTATTAACATAGTAACATGTATTTTTTAAAATTAGACAGCGGCGTTCTCTCAGAAGTTGTTTTGTAGACGTTTATCTGTTGATGACCTTTTGACCTCTTGAATTCTGCAATGAGATTTTCGGGTCGATTCAGCCGAGACGGCCCGAGTGGAGTTTCATGGAAATGTTTCGTACGGAAAAAAAAATCGTACCCGTGCCTGTATAGTAAATATTGTATAAAAACTGGTTTAATTTTAAAGTTTTTTTAAAGAAAATGTATTTGAAGTCACAAAATTGCATTGTTATGTTGAAATAATTGATGCAGCAACATTTTTTATTCCCGCATCAATATTTCCCCGAATACTTGATGCGGGCGGAAGTGATAATCTAATAAATATTTCTATTTGCCCTAGGGCACATAGAAAAAATTATTAGATTATCACTCTTTTTCTTTTAAAAAAATTGATAAAAGCGAGCATTTTCTTTTTTTTTTTTAATCGGTACAATAAATTATTTCGCTTTTGTTTTATCGATGAGGGAGGGACTGTTTATATTTAGCCTGTACCTGGGCCTGTAATAGTAAATATTGTATAAAAACTAGTTTAACTTTATAGTTTTTTTAAAGAAAATGTATTTGAAGTCACAAAATTGCATTGTTATTTTATGCTGTTAAAATAATTGATGCGGCAAAAACAATTTCTTTTTTATTCTCGCATCAATATTTCCCTGAATTTTTTACGCGGGCGGGAGTGATAATCTAATAAATTTTTATATTTGCCGGCCCTTACAGCACAACACTCCGAGGAAGCCACGCGTTTGCCTATACCGTGCGTTGCTCGTTCTGCATGTTTATACAAATTTGACGCCCACTTCATGGGCGGATCCAGTAAAGGGTACGGGGGCAGTGTTATGTGCAACTTACTTATCTATTCTTAAACTGTTGTGTTCCCCCTCCCCCCGTTGAATGATCGTCAAAGGACTGAATGTGTGTTGTTTCTAAAGTTCACTATAATAACCATGCTGGTTACTCACCAAATGATGACGTCACAACAATTGCGGACCTGGAAACCATTGCAGATTTTGTTGCTTCAAACGAAAACACACCGTCACTCTCAGAGTATGGTAAATTTTTAACACCGAGATACACAAATTTATCATGTGTGCTGTATGCAATATTGCTTTGAGTGTTAAATATTTTATTATCTGGCATATCGCCAGAAGAGCTTCTATCAGCCCACGTTACATTATTTTTGCCATCCACATTCTTGTATAATATCCCAATTGTCAGATCCATTGTTTTGCATTTGTTGATAGCGTATCCACGAAATTCGTTTCCACTGTTCGACGATATTAGTGGTATTGCAGAGAAAAGTGTCATATCCAGTGGAACTGAAAATGAATCAACAAGCTAAGTTATATTATTAAATTAAATTATTATTACTGACGATCATGACAGTGGCTCTGACGGTGGTTATGGTGTTGGTTTCTGGACAGAACGGCAAAAAGTCAAAACGACAATAAGTCAAAACGGCAAGACCAAAAGGGCTATAGGCCTAAGTCAAAATGGCAATAAACCAAAATGGCAACACTTCCAGAATTTATGTCAAAAGTAGAAAAGCGCAAAAGAAAAAAAAACACTATAGAACAACATTAATAATAATAATAGGCCTAATAACAATAGTATAACATACAAATTCAATAGCTAAACAATTTATGTCATAAAAGTAAAAATTCGCAAAAGAAAAAAAAAATAAATAACACTTTAAAGAAAAACATTACACGTTTGGATGCACTCTCGAAACCACTGTACCACTAACTCCAACCTTCAGCTTCCATATGCCCGAGACTATTCGGACAACAAAAATTCATAAAGCGGACATTCCATGGCACTACGGCCCATCGTTTCTTCACGAGGATCAACAACTTACCCTCTCGCCAAGTATCTTGCCAGGATACTGTTTCCACTGGTAGAAAACACTGGTCACCATGTAACTAACTCTCAACACTTTGTGAAGACCATCCGGGATGTTTACCTTGAATCTACAGATACTCTTGTTAGCTTCGACATCAAGTCACTATTCACCAATGTACCTGTCCAGGAGGCTTGTCTTATAGCCAAACACCGTCTAGAAGAGGACCACACTCTCCAGGAAAGAACAGATCTAAACCCTCAACAGATTTACGATTTACTTTTACAGTGTTTAGTCTGCACTAATTTCAAATGGCGCGACCAGTTTTTCGAACAAACAGCCACCAAAACAACCAAAACTTTGGCTCCGATACGTCGATAATACTGTCATCATTTGGCAAAAACAGTACCTAGATGGTTTTCTAGATCACCTGAATTCTCAGCACAAATCAATCATGTTTACCATGAAGGAGTAACACAATCACTCTTTACCCTTTCTTGATGTTTTAGTAACCAGACAGGACGCAGGGACTTTGTCACATGCAGTCTATAGCAAACCAACACACACCGACAGATATCTAAACAAACGGTCGTTTCACCATCCGTCCACCAAGAAGGGAGTTTGTAACACACTCATCAGAAGAGCACATTGCATGAGCGACCACAACTCCATCCGGAAAGAAGTGCAACATGTTAAGGCAGCCCTTAAACTTAATGGTTATCACACGAGAGACATTGCTACACCCAGACCCAGCAATAGGCTAGATAATGCAGAATCGAGAAAGTCTGTGTGTTTACCATATTTGGGACAGCTTACACACCGCATTCAAAGCATTCTACTACAAGCCGATGTCAAAGTGTTTCATAGCGCACCCAACAAACTATCCCGAACTCTACAAACACACAACGACAAACCACCAGCACAGAGTCAACCAGGAGTTTATCGGATCCCGTGCGAATGTGGGAAGGTTTACATTGGTGAAACAGGATGAGATCTCCGCACTAGGCTCAAGGAACAACAAAGGCCATGGCAGGAGAGGGGAACAAGAAAAATCTTATATGGTCATGCATTCCCACAGTCAACAACACTCTGTGCATTGGGACAAAGCAGAACTAATAGCCACCATACCATATTGGCACTCCAGAAGGACTAGAGAAGCCATCGAAATTCACAAACACAATACTGTACATCAAGACATCGGATTTGTCATTAGCGATATTTGGCTGTCCATGTTTAATCGGACCTAGCGAAGCCCCACCATTTCCCGCCTTCTGGAACTATGCCTTTGTTTTTGGTCGTTCCCACCCATTTTCCCGCCCTGGAACCATGGCTTTGTTTGGGCGTTCCCACCCTTTTGATTTGTTTTTGTGAACAATGGCTTTTGTTTTAGCCTCTCACTAGCAGTCTTCTCATTGGTCAGTTAATCCATCCAATCACCATCCAGCTTGTGTTTCAGCCTTTCACCCATTGTTCAGTTTACCACCATCCAGCCTCTCTACCCAAACATATAAGTATTTCCCTGTTTGGAGTGTCTGCAGATATTATTCTCCTGAAGACGATTGCAACATCTCAATCGAAACGTCGAGACTTTCTCAACAACAGTTCTTTTCAGAACTACTTACGTGATGTACCGCAAGCTTCAACATATATATTATTTCTTCGCCATGCAAACCTTTAAGCAAAACATTAATAATAATAATAATAAAAATAAATAATAATAATAACATACAATACAATTAAACAGTAAAAAGATTGGGGGAACACAATGTAACATATAAAATATAAAAGCAGTGTACATTTAAATAATTAAAACCTTAAAATACAGATAAAATGAGGCTAAACAATATTATGCTATGAAAGTAAAAAACGGGAAAGAAAAAAAAAAAATAATAAATAACACTTTAAAATAATATAAGCCTAGTCATGAATGTGTAAAAAAAAAAACATTAACAAAAAACAAAACACGATTCAGAAAATTATAAACTGCTGCCTGCACCCGGTTTGGCGCTTCATTCTTGGCATTAATTTTTGGTCCTTTGCTGTTTTGGTCTGTACCGATTGTCGTTTTGGTAGTTGACATTGCCGTTTTGGTCTGTTGCCGTTTTGGTACTTATCATTGCCGTTTTGGTTTATTGCCGTTTTGGTCATTGCCCTTTTGGTTTTTTGCCGTTTTTACCTGCTCCCATGGTGTTGATGGGGATGTGGTGGTGATGTGATAGTGGTGGGCATGAATATGGGTGAGGATAGTTTGTTTATTCAAATTCTCCACACATTGTGGATAATTTCGAAATTTCAATAGTATACACTTAACAATGTACAGTTCTTTTGTAGGACTATTGTAAAACAGCATTAAGATCTCATCTGTATATATTATCCTGCCTAAAAATGTTTTAAATAAAATTAAAAAAACAATAATAAAGCAAATACAGCAGTATAATGATATTGTAATAGTAAGGGGGTGATGGTAATGGAAATTTGGATGGGATAGTAGTGGTGATGATGATTATATTGATTATAACAAAAACAATAACAACAACAATATTATTATTAATAATAATAATAATAATAACAATAATAATATTAATTGAATTGAATTGAATTGAATTTATTCGATGCTCATATATAAAATATAAAATATAGAAATACAATATAGGAATTTTTTACAATAATCAAATACAACGAGCATCTGCAACACCCATTAAGCCGGGAATCCAGCCCATTTCCAATGGGGTCCAAATTGCATAATTAAAAAGTTATCAAAATTAATACATATTAAAAAGGAAAAGAAAAAAAAGCAGCATTTAAAAACCAAGATGCACCCAATTAACTAATAATTTAGATAGAACACAACAGTGCTCAATTGTAATTATTGCAATTGAGCACTATTGCGTTCATACAGTTTTTTGATGTGTATTTTAAATGTAGCCATATTAGTAATTAATTTTAAATTAGTCATATAGCCGAAACGAAAAAGGTTGAATGAGACTGATTATTTCCTTTAAGCAGAGGTACAACCAAATTGACTTTATGTTGACGAGTGTTATGTGTATGAATTTCAGAAACTCGCGTAAATTGCTCAGAAAGATATGGAGCAGCCTTATTATTAAGAATCTTATGGACATTACAAAGTCTTAGAAATTTAACTCGATCTTCAACCTTAAGTAGACCAAGGCTGGACAGCTCTTTGTGACCTACATGTGTCCGTGGTCCTAAATCAAGGATAAACCGAATAATTTTATTTTGGTTGACTTGAAGTTTTTGTTTTAAACCTTTATCAATACCTTCATACCATGAAGAAGCACAATAATCAAAAATTCATTGAATAAGGGCCATAGATAACAATTTTCTAGTATTTTTGTCAAGACACCTTGCTTGACGGTAAAGAAACCATAGTCTTGCATTTGCCTTCTTGATAACACTCTTGGCAATATTATTACCAGAGGCTGAATTATCGAGTTCAACACCAAGATATTTGACAGACTTGGAACCTTTTAATCTAAGGCCACCAGTAGTGACTTCAAATGATTTTATACGTTTAAGTTTTTTTTTACTACCAAAAATTATTGACTCCGTTTTACTGAGGTTTATAGATAATTTGTTGTCAATAAGCCAAATTCTACATGAATTAAGAGCGTTACCAAGTCTATCGGCAACGACATTTGGATCTTTGTGCCAAAATACAATGGCACTATCATCAGCATATAAGAGTAATTTACATTCAGGGTTAATACTGACTATCATATCATTTATAAAGCATAAAAAAAGCAAGGGACCCAAAATGCTACCTTGGGGCACCCCGCATGTGATATCCATAAGCTCAGATAATGAATCTTCAACTTTAACAACCTGGGTCCTATTTGTCAGATATGAACGAAACCAGTCTAAGGAGGTAACGCCCATTAGAGCAAGTTTCTCGCATAATATCTCGTGATCAACAGTATCAAATGCTTTACATAAATCAATTAGGACCATACCAGTATGTATGCCTTTGGAATTATTTAATTTAATCGTATCCGTTAAATTAATTAAGGTACTTTCAGTTGAATAAGTTTGTCGAAAACCTGACTGATATTGATAAATGAGATTATTGTTAACAAGGTATTGTTCTAACTGAATATGAACAGATTTTTCAAGAATTTTATAAACAATATTTAGAACGCTTATGGACCTATAATTTTCTGGGTTTTTACGGCATTTCTTTTTATACAATGGGGTGACCTTAGCATTTTTTAAGTCACTCGGAACATATCCCGTAGTGATGGACAGATTTATAATATAAGTAATAGGAGAAGCCAATACATGGGCACCGTATTTAAAAAATCTTGCCGGTAACCCATCAAGACCGGTACTTTTAGTAGGGTCCAGGTTTTCTAACTGTTTCAGAATGAATTCCTCTGTAACATGAAGAACTTTGGAAGAATGAAAATCTTTGATAACTTTAGAAGCATAGCTATATATATGTCTCATAGGGGGCAGCTTGTCAACAAGGTGATTGGCCATATTAGTAAAGTAAGTATTGAAACATCTAGCTACATCTTTTGAGTTGTGAATTTTTGATTCATTCATTTCAAGAACAATTTTAGATCTCTCATTTGCTTTTTTACTGTACCCTAGTTTTTTAAGATTTTATCATAATTTCTTTGGATTATTCTTATTTTCAACAATCTTATTCCTAAAATACGTTGATTTAGCTTTTTTAACATCACACTTAACTTTGTTTCGCAATTTACAATACATATTATGGTCATCTTTATTTTTATTTTTAGACTTCTTAAATTTTTCAAGATATTTATCACGTGTTCGTATGTCATTTAAAATAATAACATACAATACAATTCAATAGTAAAAAGATTGGGGGAACACAATGTAACATATAAAATATAAAAGCAGTGAACATTTAAATAATTAAAACCTTAAAATACAGATAAAATGAGGCTAAACAATATTATGCTATGGAAGTAAAAAATGGGAAAGAAAAAAAAAATAATAATAAATAACACTTCAAAATAATATAGGCCTAGTCATGAATGTGTTAAAAAAAAAAAAAACATTAACAAAAAACAAAACACGATTCAGAAAATTATAAACTGCTGCCTGCACCCGGTTTGGCGCTTCATTCGTGGCATTAATTTTTGGTCCTTTGCCGTTTTGGTCTGTGCCGATTGCCGTTTTTGTAGTTGTCATTGCCGTCTTGGTCTGTTGCCATTTTGGTACTTATCATTGCTGTTTTGGTTTTTTGCCGTTTTGACCTGCTCCTATGGTGTTGATGGGGATGTGGTGGTGATGTGATAGTGGTGGGCATGAATATGGGTGAGGATAGTTTGTTTGTTTATTCAAATTCTCCACACATTGTGAATAATTTTGAAATTTCAATAGTATACACTTAACAATGTACAGTTCTTTTGTAGGACTATTGTAAAACAGCATTAAGATCTCATCTGTATATATAAATCCTGCCTAAAAATGTTTTAAATAAAAAAAAAACAATAATAAAGCAAATACAGCAGTATAATGATATTGTAATAGTAAGGGGGTGATGGTAATGGAAATTTGGATGGGATAGTAGTGGGGTTGTGGTGGTGATGATGATTATATTGATTATAACAAAAACAATAACAACAATAGATTATTAATAATAATAATAATAATAATATAATAACATTAATATATTTTGGAAATCCTATAGTACATAATAATAATAATTATAATAATAACAATAACAATAATAATAATAATAATAATAATAATAATAATAATAACTAAGCTAATGATAATAATGAATAAACTTATTAAAAAAGGAAAACCAACATGTACATACACTATGGCTATCACAAAACAAATTTAAATGATTAACATTATCTTGTGAACAGATAGCTGAAGGTAAGAATATTAAATCTGATACCTTTTTGTTTTAAAAGGGAGACGGATTCTGTCAGATTTCATCAAGACTATATTGATCAATGGTTGTATTTCTTATCTTACTTAATATAAATAATTGTATGCTCAGATATTTTACCTGCGCCAAGAAGTTCAAATCTTAAACTGATATGGCCAAACCAATCGGTAGGATGGATACGGATGAATTGAGCATAGACAACAGAATTGAATAGTTTTGTCACCTCGGTGTTTCGATCAGAGTTTGCACTAAAAGTCTAAAAAAGTAACTGAGATATGGTAAGCATACATTTCCACGTCTTATGATGCTTGTCGTATAATCTTATATAAATTTGTTATAAAAACATACCTCAACTTGACCATTCGATCCCAATACTGCTGTGAAGTTGGTACCATTGGTACTGTAATAGACTTCGTATGATTTTACCCATTGATCGCCATCACTGCGCCCTTGTGTTATTACTCCAATTACTCCTTTTATAGCACCGAGATCGGCTTCAATCCACTGATTTTGGTCTTGATATTTTGCTGCCCAGGCTCCAATGCCAATTCCCCCTTCTAGTACTGTGTTGAGCCGTCCTCGTTCAGCTCCATAATACTGACTGTATTGGCTGGATGCTCTCAGTTGGTCTGAGGAAATCGTTCCATCTTCAACCCCAAGAGCTAGACATGAATCTGCAAAGTTATTTGATTAATAGTTAAGCCAGGCCTTGTAGCAATGAACAAATCATGAACTATGTAGGCCTGGCCCTACCGGAATATCAATCATCGATATTTTTCAAAAAGAAGAAAAACAGGAAGCCTTGGGAAATGCAGGGGTGGCATCAAGATTTGCCTGACGACAGTGCCGCGACAAATTGGCAATTTCGTAAACCCGCAATGCCAGCCCTGAACCGCCGTGCCAAAATTATGTAGTTTTTACACATGCGCTAGAAATTTGCATCATCGTGTTTTGTCGAGTATGTACCAGTTTTCGACCGGTTGTCTTCGTTAAGTAGGATTTTAACACTGCGCAGGTGGCCGTGGTTTAACGAAGAATGACCAGTCGAATACAGCCATTTTCTTTCCTTCTTATTTGCACAATTATTATTATTATTATTTCTTTTGTTTTTTTTCTCTAGGGTCCTCCTTTTGTTTTGCACAGTAGAAGCTTGTCAACTACTTTGGTATTTATTTATTTATTTATTCTTTCTTTTGACTGGATACATTTTCAATACAAAAGTACTGGTCTCCCAAATGATCCAGTTATTTTTAACAATTTTGGGAATTTTTACTCAATGACAACCACTTGTTCTGTCGATTCAGAATGGTTAAGAACTTCATTATTCAATTATTATTGTTGTTTTGAGCGAAGCGGTTTCGAACAAAAACAGCCTGTTTCAAAAATGTTTATGACCATTGCTTATGTCGTAGAAAATGTAGTACGGTAGGAATCCTAGTACAGCACATAGTGAGTATAATTACAAATACTGGGCCTACAAACCGGTCCTACTACAGGCTAATTAATTGGGCTAGCATGGGCCTGTCAGGAAAAATTTGGTCCAGGCCAAAAATCGGTCCGGCGGACTGATTTTGGCCTCATAATTACTTGCCAAATGTAGTCCACATAAGCCAAAATCAGTCCGCTGAAATTTACTTTGCCGCACAGCACACTTGGAAATATTACGTCCGCAATAGATTTTGGCGGAAAGAACAATTCCTAAGCTTTCAACAGACGCGCATAAGCTTATCTAGCCAATCACAATGATGTCCCTAGCTGAAGCCTTAATTTGCATACATCACCCTATATAAGAGTTTAAGATCAGCATGTACTTGTGTTTAGTTGATACCTTCGCGGTTACTGAACATTGGAATAACAGGAAGGAAAAACTTAGCTATGTACACGGATATACATTATCTGTAGCTGTTGTATTTTTAATAGTGTTACAGTATATTTGCTCTGAACAATTACATACTGTACATTGAGATAAAATTTAATTTCATATTCATAACTCATACCGCCTCCACGCCTCATATATTTGGTAGAAAGAGAGGGTGGGTGCGTGGGTGAACGACGTGAAAGGGTTTTTGAAATTTAACATGTAACATGTAGATTCCGCTACGCAAGACACAGCACAGTGGTTTTAAACCACCAATCACAATGATGTCCATCGCTGAAGCCTGAATTTACAGACATCACCCTATATAAGAGTTTAAGATCATGATGTACAGTACAGTATTTGGCTTTTTTTGATAGCAGAGGCTTCGAGGGTTTTTTTTCAGTGACAGGACCAACTAGCATACCCCCTTCTAAATCCACTCCTCATATATTTGGTAGAAAGAGAGGGAGATAATTTTAAATAGTTTTGCATTATGTGGCCGTTTGCCGTTTTATGGGTTTTTCCCATTTGCCTTTTAAAATTTATATATTATTAAAGAATCTCTATTGAGATCCAGCAGACCACCACTGATGCACAGTAGAGATTGCATCTTTAGATCTCCGATCTTGGTCACAAATTCACGGACTAGTGCTGTCTCGTAAGAATTTCGTAGGACGCGTGAAGAATGACAAAATACTGTATTCTCTATATCTACTGGAACCGAGCCACATAGCTTGTATTCCACTATTTGCATTCACACCTGGGCTGTGTATATATATTGCATTGGTTTGGTTCTGTAATCATTAGTGGTCGTGGGACTAGTTTGGGCCCTACCTAAGCTGGTCGAACGTTTCGT